TAGCCTTGACTAGACAGACCTTTGTTCCCAAAGTAATGTCTCTGCTTTTTAATAAGGTGTTTAGGTTGGTCATAACTTTTCTTCTAAAGACACCAAGGTTATTCTTGGATAAAATGACTATGAGTAACTATTTTTCTTTTCTTCTGTCTTTCTTTGGTTTCTATAGTTTTTCTGTACCAAAACAAAGATGACTTTTCCAATGGGTAGAAAAGAGAAAATCCTTCTAATCAAGAATTCTGCACTGTCGGGAATGGAGAGGTGAAGCAGGATAAAAATGAAAATGTGATGCAGGGGATGGCTATGTTTCTATTCTTCCCATCAGCTTTCTCAGCCTCCAAGGGCCCATGAGGGGGCAGGCCTCACAGCTTGATTCCTGCCCAGGGGTTTCTTAAAGCCCAAAGCCAAGGGGATGTGGTTCCTGCTTTTCTTATCCTGAGAAGGATTTGATTGAAACAAGCTTGAGCTCTAAAAGGACCTCCACGGGTTCAGAGGGAAAGAATATTCTCAGCCCTGAAATCTTGTGGTGCCAAGAAATGATCAGGAGCATGTGTCGTGGCGGGTGAACAGCCTTCCCAAGGCTCACCCTGAACCCACCTCTTGATATCAGTGGAGTATTTATCTCCAGAGGCCTGGAGTCCCTAGGTTGGAGGAAGGGCTGGCATCTGCTCCATGGGGGGAAAGGAGGAGAGTGGTCTTGAAGAAGACCTGGACTGAGAACCAACGTGATTAGGTTGGAGTTCCAGCTCTACCTGGTTGCTCCACTAATCACTGAGCCTCAGTTTCCCCATCTGGAAAAAAGGATATAAGGACATCTCTCTACTTATGTGGAATTTTGAGTATAAAACGCTACCATATGTGGAAAATGCTTCGGAGTGCACGGAATGATGGACTGATGCTATTAACATTTGTGAAAGTGAAAGTTGCTCAGTCGTGTCTGACTCTTTGCAACCCCATGGACAATACAGTCACTTGAATTCTCCAGGCCAGAATATTGCAGTGGGTAGCCTTTCCCTTCTCCAGGGGATCTTCCCAACCGAGGGATCCAACTCAGGTCTCCCACATTGCAGGTGGATTCTTTACCAGCTGAGTCACAAGGGAAGCCCAAGAATACTGGAGTGGGTAGCCTATTCCTCTCCAGTGGATCTTCCTGACCCAGGAATTGAACCAGGGTCTCCTGCATTTCAGGTGGATTCTTTACCAAGTAAGCTATGAGGGAAGACCAATATTTGTGAATGGGAGAATTATTGGTGGAGAAGAGGAAAGCAGAGTGAGTTATGCTCCTGTTACTTGCATTTTCAGATTAAAAAAAAAAATTTGTTGCGTTTCCTCCTTCAGCTAGAATCTATCCTACGTATCATCTTGCAATTCCTCATTTGCCCCATGAGAAAACCGAGGCTAGTAGAAGACAGCCTTATGGGACTTGTCCAAGGTCACCCAGCTGGTAAGTGGCAGACCAGAGCTCAGATCTAGTTCTTCTTTCTCAGTCCAACTCGTGTTGAAAAATTTATCTCGGTTTGCCCCAGACTTTTCTGTATTTAAGACTGAAAGTCATCTGTCCTAGAAAATTCCTTCTTCTCAGGAAAACTGGGATAGTTGGTCACTCTCAGTCCAGGGCTCATTCCATAACTCAGCATCATTGGCTTTGCCACGCACAGTGGGGGCCGAAGATCTAGGAAGAGCCCAGAATTATTCACTCTTGCTTCTTCCCAAGGGAAGAAATGACCCAAGCCCCAGCCCTGCGAAGACCCTTCTACCAGCAAGACTACCATGAGCAAACTCAACAGAAAGAAGGGTAGACAGCTCTCTTCTAGCATCAGATCATTTTCCCTTTCTGTGACTTCCATCACCGAGCAGGTTGTAACTTGCTTTTGGGTAAATAGGTAGGGGGAAATGCAGCTCTTCCTTTCCAGATGAGCACCCCTCCCTTTGGGTTTATCATCCCGTACACATGCATACAGCTTATGATTTGGATGCAGGTGGCTAGGGCAGAAATTATCACCCCCATTTCTTGAGATGAGGAAACAGGCACAGAGAGGTGGGCCTGTCCAGAGTTACACAGCCAAAAAGTGTCTAAACTAGACCCAAACCCGAGTCTTCTAAGGTGTTAAATTTAGAGTTTGCAGATTCCTGAAGGTCTATAGATGGGCATCAGGGGAAAAGCTTGTGTGTACATGTGCTCTTTGCTGGGGAGTGGGGCATCTCACATATTTCACCAGTTTCTCAAAGGAATGAATTAGACTTCTTAGATCTACAGTTGGTGCATGATTAACTTTTTTCTGTGTTTCAATATTGATTTTATTACAAGAAAAGCTTTAGGGATGACAAGTTACCTTGGTACTTAAAATGTGCTTAAGTGTTTCAAGGGCACCAAGCAAAACTAATAGATTTTACAAAACTCTGACACAGCTAGTCAAATTGATTTATTTCTTTTCCTATCTGTTAATTTTTCAATGTCTTTAAAATGTCATGTTCAGAATTTTTTCTTCTGTTGCCACATTTTGTTTAATTTCTCAACATAGATGCACGTATCAAAAGAGAAAAAGGCCTGTACAATTCAACTCTTCAACACTTTAATCCTGCCTGAGTCCTTCCTGGGGGCTCGTTGGTTTGTACACTGAGAGAGGCATTCAAACGCTTTAGGCCTGGCTTTTCTGATTTTTTTGTGGAAGTGCTTCACTTAAGGGGCATAGAAAAATAGTGTTTCTGTGGTATGATTCCAGGGCCCCTTCCCACCAGGCTCCCAGCCTAGCAGGCAAACTCTTCACATTGAACTTACCAAAACCCTGTATAGGTAGGTGTGTGGAAACATCAAGGAACCATGCAACTGTCTGTTTTGGGGAGGTCCCATTCCCTGTCATTGGGCTTCCAGGTGGCGCTAATGGTAAAGAACCCACCTGTCAGTGAGGAGACAAGAGACCTGAGTTCAATCCCTGGTTCAGGAAGATCCCCTGGAGGAGGGCATGGCAACCCACTCCAGTAGTCTTGCCTGGAGAATCCCATGGACAGAGGAGCCTGGTGGGCTACAGTCCATACAGTCTTATAGAGTTGGACATAACTAAGGGACTTAGCATGCACACATGGATTCCTTGTCATTAATTCATGCCCTTAAGAAATTTCTATGGAGTGTCTGCTACATGCTGCATTTTGGAGGTAAACCAGTGAACAAAACAGAGAAGATCCCTGCCATCATGGAGTCTATATCCAAGCAAGAACTTGACCTCAGTTTCTCAAATTACAAGGGGCCATCTAGTCACTCGCTGAAATGCTCTCTCTGATGCGGAGGAGACACAGCCTCAGTCCATCTCAAGCTTCAAGTCTGTTGGGAGAGAAATTTTAGAACAGTTCAACCAACCTAACCTGAAAGTGACCAGATCTCAAAAGAAGTCCCCAGGTACCGAGGAGAGACTAAGGGGAAAGAGCGCAAGGAGGCTGATGAGAGAAGTTCCTGGAGGAACTGCATCTTGCTTTAAGTCTGGGCCCTAAGCTGAAAATCACAGCTCACGTCTAAGAGTGGGCTCCCGCTCAGCATGCTGACTGAATTATTCTGCACCTGAATTCTGATGGAGGTTTAGCTGACCTGGGGGAGAAAGTCCTCTAGGAAAGGAAGTGTAAGCAAAGTCTCTGGCTCTCTGAGTGGACAGACTCCTTCCTAAGAGCTAGGACAATACCACGGCAGAGGTCTGCAGGTTGGGGCTTCCTCCAGGAAACAACAAGAAAGCAGGTGTTGTCCTTGTGCCGAACCTGCTCTCACGCTGCAGACATTTCACATCCACCAGTCCGCTCTCTGCTGTCCCCTCACTATACAGATGCGGCAAGCCCACAGCCTCCAGCCCGAGCCCCTCCTCCGCCCCGGTCTCCTAAGGTGAAGCTCTCCCCAGGAACTCCCGGGCTCCCAGTACCCAGGGGAGCTCTTCTCAACGGCCACAGGTCATTTTACCAAGAAGGGAAAAACCACATCTGATTTCCACAGAATCACAGTTTCTGCTGACTTGCCTGGATTTGTTGGTTGGGAAGGGCACTCTTAAGCTAGATGTGATATAATTTGTTGCTTTACGTTTCCTTAGCTTTGAGAGAAGTGTCTTTATTTCTGTGGGAGGAAGGTCTGAAATCAGAAGAGGTGACTAAGGACACATGAATGAAAAGCACGGGGTTGAGAGTTTGAGGGTGTGGGTTTGGGTCCCTACTCCACCACTATTCAGCCTCGGGCAAGTCACGTCTTCTCCCGGAGCCTCACTGTTTCCTCCTCTGGGAGTGAGACGGCTGGACCAGGTGCTCCTTCCTGTCTGGTAGAGTGAGGTGGCTGAGGATGGAGGTGCTGAAGTCCGGCTGCCCAAACGGCATCTAGCTCTGCTGCTTACTCCCCGGGTGCCCCGGGGCGTGCTCTTGACAGCGCTGTCTTAGCTTTCTTCTCTAAAACAATAGACACAAAAATATTATCTGCCTTGTGGAGTAGATGTGAAAACTAAAAGACTTAATGCATATAGGCACCTACTACAGTGGGGGGCTGTGTTCATGACTTGTTTTTTAGCTATCACTGTCAGCCTTGCTGGACTGGGGTGTTGGAAAAAGCTCTTGAGAGTCCCTTGGACAGCAAGGAGATCAAACCAGTCAATCCTAAAGGATATCAGTCCTGAAAATTCATTGGAAGGACTGATGCTGAAGCTGAAACTCAAGTACTTTGGCCACCTTATGCGAAGAACTGATCCATTGGAAACGATCCTGATGCTGGGAAAGATTGAAGGGAGGAGAAGAAGGAGACAACAGAGGATGAGATAGTTGCATGGCATTATTGACTCGATGGACATGAGTTTGAGTAAACTCTGGGAGTTGATGATGGACAGGGAGGCCTGGCATGCTGCAGTCTATGGGGTCACAAAGAGCCAGACATGACTGAGTGACTGAACTGAACTGAATTGAACTGTCAGCCTTGCTCCTTCCCTTATGAATTTTGAGTTTGTGACAAGGAGAAATGTCAGATAAAGGAATGATAAAGGCACATGCAATGTTTGGCCCTGATAACATTCTTCTGATTCTCCCTGGAGCAGGTTGTCACAAAGGCAGGAGAGCAGGACTTTGCCTTTTCCCAGTGGCTTTGGCTGCCCTGGGTGGACCTGACCTTGAGTGATGTGTTGCCGTGGAAGAGGAGCTCTAGTGATGGTGAGGGGAATGAGCATGTCTATGTGAAGTGTTGTAAAGAAACTAACTCTTTATCTTCTCTTATAGTAAGCCAATAGGGAGGCCTGGCGTGCTGCGGTTCATGGGGTTGCGAAGAGTCGGACACGACTGAGCGACTGAACTGAACTGAACTGATAGTAAGCCAATAGTGCGTGCGTGCTCAGTCATGTTCAACTCTTTGTGACCCTATGGACTGTAGCCCACCAGGCTTCTCTCTCCATGGAATTTTCTAGGCAAGAATACTGGAGTGGGTTGTCATTCCTACTCCAGGGGATTTTCCAGACCCAGGGATCAAACCCACATCTCCTGGTCCACCTACATTAGCAGGAAAATTCTTTACCACTGGGCCACCTGGGAAGCCAATAGCTCATTTCTAAAATGAAGAGTTCAGAAACAGAATAAACATGTGTTCTCTAGAATTATGAAGCTATATAGCAAAAGGGGACAATGAACTTTGACAGTGGTTGCCTACCGGTCCTAGGAATGGGGGCTGGGCAGACTGGGGCAATGGCCTGCAGGTTTGTATCATATAAAAACCATCTTAAATTACATATGTGGAAATCTTAAATGAAAAATAAATTAGAAAATACAATAAAATGCAATATAATATCCTAGGGTCTGTGGTCAGGAGAAATGACTGTTTAGCTAAGGAAGTGTATGTGTTCACATGTCATGTTCTTGTAAAATTCACAAAAGGAAGGTAAGCTCAGCTTAATCAGTTAAGATCAATGTTCTTTTCTACTCCAGCCTCCCCTCAAGTGACATTGAAGAGATCAAAATAACATGGGGATCTGAGTAAGGAGCTGTTGACTTGGGGGTGTATTTGGCCCTTTGTTGTTGTTCAGTTGCTAAGTTGTGTCTGACTCTTTGGACACCAGGCTTCCCTGTCCTTCACTATCTCCCTGAGTTTGCTCAAACTCAAGCCCATTGAATCAGTGATGCCATTCAACCATTTTATCCTTTGTCACCCCCTTCTCCTCTTGCCCTCAATCTTTCCCAGCACCAGGTCTTTTAAAATGAATCAACTCTTTGAATCAGGTGGCCAAAGTATTAGAGCTTCAGCTTTAGCATCAGTCCTTCCAATGAATATTCAGGGCTGATTTCCTTTAGGGTTGACTGGTTTGATCTCCTTGCTGTCCAAGGGACTCTCAAGAGTCTTCTCCAATACCACAGTATGAAAACATCAATTCTTTGGTGCTCAGCATTCTTTATGGTCCAACTCTCACATTCATATTTGACCCTTAGAAAGACGTATTTAGATGGCTTGAAATCACATATGTGTGTGGTTAAGATACTGCTACCCATCCTGGTGTAAGAATGGCATTCAGGAATATTCCTTCCAGTTGCTGTGCTGACTTTTTTTTTTATTGGAAGTGTGTGAATATTGGAAGAGAAGCAAAGTTTGAGATGTTTGGAGCCAGAAAAAAATGTATTGAAATTGTTTTTTGCTTTATTTTAAAAGTAATATACAATTAAAAACATATTATTACAATCCAGATACATTTACCAAGACATTTAAAATTTACATTCCTGAGCATATAGCTCTATGCTATATAGTACGCCTTTGTTAGTTATCTACTTTATTATATACAGTAGTGTGTATATGTTAATCCCAACACCCTACTTTATCCCTCCCTCCTTTTCTCTGATAAGTATGTTTTTTTTTTATATTATACTCAATATTTTGTAATAACCTATAAAGGAAAAGAATCTGAAATATATATATATATGTATAATTGAACCACTGTGCTATATACCTAAAACTAATACAACACTGTAAATCAACTATATTTCAATTTAAAATATAATAAATAGACAGAAAAGTGAATAATCATTTATTTTCTTTCTAAATCTGCATCTACTTCCCAAATGAACCATCCATTCATCAATATCAGTATTTCTTTGACAAATTCTTCCTCTGTCATACTTTCTAGTGTCATACAGTCCTTACAACTGTAGGGTTTTCCTCATATATCACAGAAGTTAGGCATATAAACCTAAGTCATTTCCTCCAAGTCACTCAGTAGGGCTGCACCTTGCTCAACTCCATGGCACCTAACTCCTGAGAAAGGCACTGGGCGTGGTAGCCCCTGGGGTTGCACAATGCCTGGTTCACTTCTTGTCTGAGCTCCAAGACGTGGCTCTTAGGAGAGGCAAACTCTACCCTCTTATGGAAAAGAAACTGCCTTGGCAGCATCTTGAATGGCTCATGGAGTTGGAGTGGAAGGATAGGGGATTGGAAAGTGTGAGAGAGCTGTGTCCAGCACACATTAGGCTCAGAGCATCTCCATCTCGGTCTCTGGTTTGCCTTCGTTTTGTCTGTGTCCCCATTTAACAAATGGGCCATAGAGCTCTGGGATGCCAGTGGTGGGTCAGCTGGCTTTGGAAGACCTAATTCTAGACCAGACAGAACCCACATATATGGGTCAAATCCACAGCTTGATTGCAATCCTGGGAGGAATACCATTCCACCTCAATCTGTATTCTTGTCTTTTTATATTAAGTGTTAGTAGTGAGGCTTAGGATGGAGAAAAATAATTTCTTATTGTCCCTATTTTCTCCTAGTTTAGGAACTGAAAGGAGGGTGCTGTAAAATTAATAACAAAGCCTATCATTTTCTAATCGCGTATTATTTTTCAGGCCTTGTGCTAAAGCTTACATTTAATCATGTAATCTACACACCATGCCTGCATGGTGAATGTTCATCAGCCATAATTAGCACCATTTTTCAGATGAATAACCAGAGGCACAGAGATTAACTGGCTTGCTTCTGGTCTGACAGCCAAAGCAAGCAGAGGCAGTCAGCCTGAGTTGGCTGACTCCAAAACTGCAGTCCCAGTTACTATGATACAGTGTATACTGGAGTGGAGCTATGAACACAGCACATATTTTTCCTTTCTCTACAAGCTTCCTGATGTGACATCTTTGTCCTGAAATCAAAGTTGGATGAGAACACACAGTCTGAGCACAAGGTGATGAATACAGGCTAAGAGTCAGCACAGACAGTGTTGCAATCCACTCACCATCTGTGAGCTATGAGCCTGCAGCTCAGGCAGTTCTGGGAAAGACAGCATCCACTCCTTGCCCGTCTCCCTCCCAGGAGAAGCAGGAGTGAGGAGGGGGAGATCTCTGGACTCGAGAGTAGCTCTTCCTCTCCTCCCCAGAAGGAGCAAAGAGACACTAAGTCTTAAAAAGGCGTCTTCTCCTTTTCCAGGTGCCTGACACACAGCATCAGAATAAATAATATTTATGGAGTACTCACCAGGGTCAAGTCCTTTAGATCATTCAGAACCTCACAGTTTATTTTTACCTATTTTAGGAAACTGCAGGGCGGTTTTGAGTAGCTTGTCCAGTATCTCACCGAGAAGAGGGAGAGCCAGAGTTTAAATCGAGAGCAACGCTGTGACCACTACAATCGACTGCTTCCCTCAACGTGTACTATTTCATTAAGTGCAAGATACTGGACCACAGGACATCCAGCCCCCTGTGGCTCCACTTCCTGGCATCTTTGCCCATAAATTGTCCTCAATGTTCCCTGTCCTTCTTCCTTCCCCGCTAGGGCCCTGCCCACCACTTTGTCTCCCCAGGTTGGCCACAGAGCACATTCCATTCCAGCTTGTCCAAAGGACCCATGGAGTTTCTTATAATCACACCCCATCCCCAAGCTGTTTCATTTTGGTAAAAACAAGCTCTGTTTCGGGAGTTCTTGTTTGGAGAGAAAAATTTTTACACCCTATCTTTTTTTTTTATCACCATAACCCTAAACCCTGATTCTTGAAGAACTGGTAGTGTAGAGATTGTTTTAAAAAAAAAAAAAAGCAATTTAGACAGAGTCTTTTGGCCCAAGATCGAGGATTCCAGTCTCTGTTCCCGACCTGCTCCTGGCTGCTAAGCTCCTCTGCCTCGAAGTCTCATTTTCTCCCTCTGCCTTGATTAAGAAAGAAAGGGCTGTCCAAGGGACAAGATGGAGAAGAGAAGATGCCCAAAGAAACCCTCACATTTCCGCGAGAGGAAGAAAAAACCCTCCTGACGAAGTTAAACAAAATAATGCACGTAAAGCCTTTAGCTAGCACCTGGCACAAGTCAGGTGCTGAATAGCTCGGGCAGAGGGAGAGGACTGGAGCTGGGGCACCTGCAGAGTCTCAGGGCTGGCTGTGGCAGGCGTGGCTGTCCGAAGATTGCTTTCCTGGCGTTGCCTGCAGGGTACAATTGGTGACATGCCACAGCTCTCAGGAAAGTGATCTAACTTGGATTTTTCTGTATGGACACAGAATTGCAAGAAAATCTCATTTGCATAGAGTTGGGGAGCTCATTTTTCCTAGAAGCTGCCTGTCAAGACTGAGAAGAAAGACGCATTTCTTAATAATGATTAATCAGCTATATCTGAAAAGAAAAAGAAAACAATTCAGGAAATAAGATGCTGAGGAAAGGTGGGGAAAGACGATCTCCCCCCAGATGGACCCACCCAGTAAACCCTGACAGCATTTCCTTGTGTTCACCTGCATAAGAGTGACCAGCCCTTTCCAAGCGGCAAGGAGTGCAGAGAGAAGGCTTAGAGGTGGCCCTTGAGCACCTGTGAGAGGTGAGGCTCTCAGCGTCCGTCCTGAGGCTTTGCTCATCACCATCCCAGCCCTCTTCCTTCACAGCTGCAGAGAAGTGACCTGCAGTCGCTGTGAGCAGCCTACGGAATTCCAGGTGCTGGGCGTTTTGTAGAATGGGGAGGGGTGTTCCGGTTGAACTTTCTAGTCCTTTCTTCTCAATAAGTAGAGAGCCAGAGTGGGAAAGGAGGAAGGAAGAAATGGAAGAGGGAGGGATCTATTTTGTTTTCAGAAACATGATGATCTTACTTAAGTTTTATTGAAGTGTATTGATTTACAATGTTGTGTTAACTTACGCTGTGCAGCGAGTGATTCAGTTACGTGTATATATATATACTTTTTCATATTCCTTTCCGTGACGGTTTATCACAGGATATTGACTATAGTTCCCTCTGTGACACAGAAGGACCCTGTTGCTTATCTGTTCTATATACAATAATTTGTCTGCTAATCCCAAACTCTCAGTCCTTCCCTCCCCGACCTCCCTCCCCCTTGTCAACCACAAGTCTGCTCTCCATATCGGTGAGTCTGTTTCTCTTATGTTCATTTGTGTCATATTTTAGATTCCACATAGAAGTACATCATTTGTCTTTCTCTTTCTGACTTACTTCGCTTAGTACAATAATCTCTAGGTCCATCCCTGATGCTGCAAATAGCATTCTTTCATTATTTTTTGTGGCCGAGTGATATTCCATTATATACATCCATTCATTTTGTCAATGAACATTTATGTTGTTTCCATGTCTTGGCTATTGTGACTAGTACTGCTGTGAATAAAGGGGTGCATGTATATTTTTTAATTATATTTTTGTCTGGATATATGCCTAGGAGTAGGATTGCTGGATCATATGGCAACTCCTTGTTTAGTTTATTGAGGAACCTCCATGCTGTTTTCCATAGCTGCTGCACCTATTTACATTCCCATCAACAGTGTAGCGGGCTCCCCTGGTGGCTCAGATGGTAAAGAATCTGCCTGCAATGTGGGATCCCTGGGTTCGATCCCTGGGTTAGGAAGATCCCCTGCAGAAGGTAATGGCAACCCACTCCAGGATTTTTGCCTGGAGAATTCCAGGGACAGAGGAGCCTAGTGAGCTACAGTCCACGGGGTCACAAAAAGTTGGACACGACTGAGCAACACACACACAGAGCAGTGTAGGAGGGTCAAGGCAAAGAATCTAGCATTTACTATGAATTTGTTTTAATTCTAAAAACTTCTAGGAACTTTACAGTATATATATTTTTAATCATTTGCAGTTATTAAGTATATTTTTAAATATAAAAAGGATCACTGGCTCGGTGGGACCTGGCAGAAGTCTGTCTGCTGCAAGGGGGTCTGCTGGGTCTCCTGTTGAGATCTAGGGGGCGGTGCCGTGGGTGGGGTGGTGCAGGGGTGAGGGGAGCGGGCCGCCTGCCCTCTCGTCTTGGTTCCGCTCAGTGGCCACGTACCTTGGCCAGGTTTCTCCACCTCGCTAAGTCAGTTTCCTCTCAGGTAGAAAGGGGATGGAAAGAGAACCACCCTCAGAGGCTGGCTGGGAGCATGAGATAACTATGGAAAATACTTGGCATGGGGCCCAAGGCACAAGGGAGGCATGATAAATGTTAGCTACTACTGTTGCCTGAAATCAGACGAAATGGCTGGAATCACCTGAGGGACATCTTTCTCCTCTGAGGCTTCCAGTGGGGGTGAGCGGGCAACACCCTACTGCTTCTGAGAGTTGTCAGCAGAAAAACTATGCCCCCTTTAGTCACTTGACTCCCCAGAAGCACCCCAGTTGTCTTTTGAGGGGAGAGAGCTCTGGGGGATTCTATTGCCTCTCCTGTCAATGGGGTCTATTTCCTTGTTTTGCTAGAAACGGGTTGCAAGAAGAGAAATCAAGCTCTTTAGCATAATGCCTGCTCTCCCTTGAGGTCCCGGCGTACACCTGTCCCTTGCTGGGAATGCGGCTGAGTTAAGGAGAGGTGAGGGAACATGGTTTTTTAAGCAGGAGTTATCACTTCTCAGCTTCTGGAGAAGAGCCTGGGACTCCAGAGGATGACCCAGGGTCGGGGAAGAGGGGGGTACGGCTCACGCTCTCCCACAGGCGTGGTTAGAAGTGGGGGCACCCACAGCCCCCAGCTGGCTTCCTATGCTCGCGGCCCCCCTCTCGTCCACTACACAGCACACACGTGGCTGGAACTGAGTGCTGTTTGTACCCTGGACGTCGCCGGGCAGAGGCTAGTCCATGCACATGTGTTGCCCTCTGACTTCTTTTTAACGCTTGTCTCTGTTTGTGAAATGTGTGCTGGTGCTGAGAAAAGTCAGAGGAGGATAACTCAACAGGCTGTACAATCAGGCTTTGAGCACTTTTCTCAAGATATATTACATGACACCACTGAAAGTGTTTCAATGAAAGGAGACCAAAGACAGTCAGGCGGGGGTGTGAGAACTGGGCAGGGGGCGGGGGTGGCAAGGATCTGGGTCTGGCCCTGCCAGCGCGCCCCTGCACCTCCTGGCTCAGTGGGTGATGGAGGGGAAGCCCCACCTTGCCACCTGTGGGTCCCCCTGGATACTGCAGCTAATGGGTTATTAGATACCCCATACCTCCCTTTCCCATCTTCAGCTGGTGACATCTTCACAGTTGGCATCAAAGGAATGATTTTAAGCAGTTACAAAGTGGGGATGTAACTTAGTGGGGATATAATAAAAGATGTCTGCTATTTCGAGGGCAAACATAAAAAAGTGAAATGTGTTTTATGGTTTTTTCAGATCTGTTGCCTAATTTCTAGGGCATGTTACCAACCCTGTTTTTCCTTTTTTTTTTTTTTTCCTTTCTATTTGTTAAAAAAAATGCTTCTCACCCCTGTTGAAAACGAGCCGTGTTGAGTCATGATTTACACACAAGTTCACTCCTTGAAAGTTGGGAGAGCGCTGCGGATCAGGCTTTCCGGGGGTGGAGTGGGCGCAGCGAGGGGCGGGAGGCAGGGAAGGGCTAACTCAACTGATTCAAAGAAACCGGAGAAGGAGACACATGCCCCGAGGTCCGCAGGCTGAGGTCCTGAGTCCTGCTTTCTGGGCTGCCTCGGGCCGGCCTCTCGAGGTCCGAAGCGGACCCAGTCGGGGTCTCCTGGGTGGAAGCTCACGTCAGCCCTCCCTGCAGGACATGAAGGCGCCGTGCGTCTCCCTCTGCCTCCTGGGTGCCGGGCTCTTCCTGTGCTCAGCGCACGCCCGAGGCCTCAGGAGATGCCTCATGTCCATGAACTTGCACCGTGTGGAGGAGAGCTTCCGAGGAATCAAAACAGCCATTGTGAGTGCGGGTTTGGGGTGAAGGCGTGGGAGCGTGCCTCACTTTCCCTTAGCGTGACAGCCAGTTCCTGCTCGTCACCTCGGTGTCTCTGGAGGATGTGAGGTCCTCACGCCTTGTGTCCATCGTGTTTCCCTCCGCAGCAGGCTAAGGACACCTTCCAAAACGTCACCATCCTGTCCCCGTCGGAGACCCTGCACGGCACTCAGGTACCGGCCTCTGCTCGCTCCTCTTCTGCGTTTTGTGGGGAGCGGCCGGGGCTGAGCGGGAATCCGCGCCCCGCACGCCTCTTAGCTGACCTCCCCGGACTCTGAGGCTCCGCCGACCCCTCACGTGTCAGCTGATGTGCGAGGCTGTGCTGGTATCTCAGGGAACTTGAACCCCAGGGAGGGTGTCCACCCCAACAGGGATTAAGGTGTCACATGCCCGGATGGGGCAGGACTTCTGTGGCTTAGTGTGACTTTGGGAGGTTTGGTGGGGAAGCTGAGACAATGAACAGTGTCTCAAAAGCTGAAGAGGCTTGGGGTTAGTGGCTAAAAGAAAGGAAGGGTTTGGGGAGAATAGGTGTGTAAGGTCAATGGAAATACGTGCCAGGGGACAGAGAGGCGGCTGGGGTGAAGTCCCTGGTGGTCCAGTAAGCAGGACTCTGCTCTCACTGCCGAGGGCGTGGGTTTAATCCCTGGTCAGGGAACTAGGATCCCTCAAGCCAAGAGGCGCGACAGAAAAAAAAAAAAAGAGGCAAACTTGAAAGTCAGGCTGAGCCTCAGCTTTATTTATTTTTGGTCGTACCGAGCGGCTTGCGGGATCTCGGTTACCCAGCTGGGGAACCTGTGTCACCAGCAGAAGCAGCATGGAGTCCTAACCACAGGACAGCCAGAGAATTCTGAGCCGTGGCCTTATAATACAGGCCACAGGGAGCTCCTGCAGGTTTTCGAACCAGAGCCGGTGACCACAAAGTCTTTTAGAAAGACAGCCTGGTGATGTTCTTTACGATAGACAGCTTGAGGCCAGAAGGCAGGGAGGGAATGTCTAATTGCCAGACTAGAGGTGCTGAGAGTCCGTGCGTTAGAAAACAGTTGACTTATGAGGTGATGATTCACTTCACAGAAAGGGCCAATGAGAAGTACCTTTAAAAGCGAGCTCCTCCAGTCCTTGATAGCATTTAGAGAAACCCAGTTCTTTCGGTTATTTATGTGACAGAGTATAAGGCACAAGATCATTCTTCTAGGCAGCATTAGGCTCCTGATTTATTTATGGTAAACACAAGGAGCCACTTCCTAAATTCTATTCTAGTCAATGGTATAGGAGACTTACAGGATTTTATAGCTGGAAGGGACCCAAAGGCCATCTATTTTGAAACCATCATTTTCAAATGACCAAACTGGCGCCTTGGGAGAAAGAATGTCTAGTTAGTAGTGGTTGTCAGAAATAGACTCTCAAGTCTCATGCCCCTGTTTCTTTGTCCTCTCAAGTTGATGTGGCGTAAGGCAAGTGGTCGATGAGTATACAGGTCATTGTCATATTTAGTCTCTTCCCCTCTCCCTCTTTGATGAGACAAAGGTTACAACATTTTACCCCTTTGGTGAAGGGAATTAGAAGGAACGGAGGAAGAGGAGAGGTTTTGTGTTGCAAGTTCAGTTTCCATCCAGGAAAAGCTACCTGTCGGACCAAGGAGGCTTTGCTGCTTTAATGCTAAAGATATAGATGCACCATTGCTATAGACCCTTCTTTTCTCAGACTGACCTATAAACCTCCTACACTGGCTCTTAGGGTGGAGTGCAGACTGCAAGAAGGAAACTCTGGCTGGCCAGTTGCCCTGAGCTATGCCCAAGGAAGTCAGAAGCTTTTCTGAGGAGGACCTGCCCAGATGCATGCATTTCTGCGGCTGTCAGTTTCCATTTTTGCATATCTCCACTCCAATCAAGTGATCCCTGAAGTTTAAAAAGAACAGACTAGAGGAGAGACGAGCAGTCATCACACTGAAAAGAACATGTGTCTAGCACAAGCCTGCCATGCAGCAGTCACTGAGTAAACACCTGTTAGTGGCTAAGGGATGTTACAGAGACGCAGACTTCAGCACAATGTAAGGAAGTACTTTTCAAGAAAGCAGCTCAGACATCGGTCCTTTCAAAAGGGAGGTGTCTGATTCCTGGAAGCAGTTAGGCAGAAGTTAGTGATATGTCAGGGATGCTGCAGACAGAATTCTAGCCTAGAGCTGGGCTCCATCCCTTGTGAATATATCTCCTGGCCATGTGAAAAGAGGGTAAGAACTGCAATCTCTTCTTGGTGACTCTGTCATAAGCAGCTTTGGTGTCATAAGAGGCCACTCAGATCAATACAAATGTAAAAAAATGGCTTTTAATTATTTCACTCCTTGTTGCCCCAACCCAAGCAGGCTGCTTTTGTCTCTAGGATAATGAGAAGAGGTCCTCCGGGGCTATCCTTAATTTGTGTCTGTAGCCCTTAGATGTATGCTGCGTGACCAAGAACCTCCTGGCATTTTATGTGGACAGAGTGTTCAAGGACCATCAGGAGCTGAGCCCCCAAATCATGAGAAAAATCAGCAGTCTTGCCAACTCTTTCCTCTACATGCAGAAGACTCTACAACAATGTGTGAGTCACCAGCATTTGCTTGCTGTCTGCCCCATGGAGCCCAGGACACACTGGCCCTATGTGGCCTTCTGAAATGGTTCTGATGGATGCTATCTCCATTTTATCACAGCAGAAGCTGTGTCACTGCAGACAGGAAGCAACCAATGCAACCAGAATCATCCATGACAACTATGATCAGGTAAGGGAGGGGGAGAGGACAGGGAAGGTGGAGATTCGATGTAGCAGCCTGAATGGGCAGCCTCCTCCCTGCTCAAATTCATCCATTTACCCAACAGTATTGATGGCCAGTCTGCCCAGTTCTGTGTCTGCAGAGTGTGTTGGTCTTACCTCATTTGTTAATTTCCTGGGCTCTCCTTCCCCATTATGCCTACACCGTTTTCTTTTCACATATCAGAACTATGTTCAGATCTGAGGGAAAGCACACACCATTTAAGATGGGGCTGAGGCAGAGGGAGGCTTCCCAGGTGGCACTAGTGGTAAAGAACCTGCTCCCCAATGCAGGTTAGATGTAAGAGATGCAGGTTCGATCCCTGGGTCGGGCATGGCAACCCACTCCAGTATTCTTGCCTGGAGAATCCCAAGGACAGAGGAGCCTGGCAGGCTACAGTCCATGGGGCCACACAGAGTCGGACACGACTGACTGACTTAGCACGCGCGCACAATGCAGAGAGAGCAAAGAGCCCCAGTGAGCTGTAAGCTGTTATGCATGAAACGTGCTACCTGGTAGCGTGTTTCTGCGTCACTGTGTCTAGGAACTGTCATCAGCGTCCTGTGCGGTGATGAATAGCGCTTCTCATGTAGGTGCGGATGTTGTATGCGCACCTCATGTAGACGTAGAGTTAGCATGTCTCTTACCTGCGTCATTTAGAGATTCTGTTGAAATGCAGATTCTGGCTGGTAGATCTGAAATGAGGTCTGAAATGCTGTGGTTCTCCCACAATCCCGGACTGAGCCAACTGCTTTGAATAACAAGGAGCTGCAGGGTCTATTCAGAGCTCTTCTTCTTTGTGGAGAGGCTCCACAGAGTAATATCACGATGGCTGAAATTCATATGGTTCTTCCTGTGAACCAGGTATTAAGTGCAGTAAAGGTATTAGCAGCGCATTTATTCCTTACCACAATGCTACAAGCCATTGTCTATATTTAATAAATTAGAAAACCAAGACACAAACAGGTTACGTAATTTAACTTTATACCACAACCAACTGATGGAGGTAGGGCTTGATCCCATGCCATCTGGCTCCACAGGACATACTTTTGTGTCTTACCATCTCCTCCACTCTGCTGAGGTAGAGCTGGAATAAGTCAGGAGACTTGGCTTCCAGTCTAACTCTGCTACCAGTCGGCTGCGTGACTTTGGGCTGCGTGACTTTGACTTAGGGGCTGCAACGTCCAGCGGAGATACGCTGTTCCCTCTTCTCACTGCTGGGCCCCTCGGGGACTGCGGCTTTCAGGGAGAGTGGCAGTAGTAGCCCGAGCTGATGCGAACAGGAAAGTGAGCAGAGCTTCCAGAAAAGCAAGTTTGTCTGTTTGTTTTTTTTCTGTGAAATATGGAAAAAGACAAACAAGAGGGCAAAGAATGAAGCACTTCTTCTTTTGTTTATAAGTTGCTGACATGATGTAACTGTGTGTTTGTAGAAAACATCTGTTAGGTCATCTGTTAGGAAAATAATTTGGGGTCTGTAGGCCCTGCAGAGATAGTGGTTGCATAAAAAGCAAACCTCATGGGGACCAGAACATGGGGCAAGTGACTGAAAACTATGGTGCAGCTCAGAAAGGCAGGGTGTGATGACGATTTGCACGGTTTCAGCTGGAGGTCCGATCGGCTGCCATTAAGGCTCTGGGAGAGCTGGACGTCTTTCTAGCCTGGATTGACAAGCATCATGGAGGAACTTCCGCTGCCTCAAGACAAGGAACCTGACCTGGGGGGATGAACAGCCCCGAGAGGCTTCTGGTGGGGGACAGCCAACTTGGAAGGGGAGCGAGATGGGGGAGGCCCTGTTTTATGCAAATGAGGGTCTTTTTGAGGAAGTCTTCCTACTTGTTTGGGATTCTCTTCTCTGGGCTGAGGTGTTGTAACGGGAAATTCTGGGTTTGAGCACACCTCACCTTGTGGCTAAAATCTCACCGGCTGGGGCCAGCTTGTCTGATCTCATCTGAAGGTATCCAAGCAGTCTGCTGTTTTTATATTTGTAACAAAATATGTCTGTTTCGAGGTCCTGTGGGGCCATCCTGGAGGGAGAGGGTGGGCTTCCCTAATTTATTGTGAAGTTTCTTATCCCATGTCTGTGATGTGAGCTAAGCGATATCCTGTGGTGCATATTGTACTGACTGGTTTTTCCGAATAAATTCTGTTCTTTACCAATTAGTGGAAGTGTTTTCTGTTTTAGGAAGGCCAGTCAAGGACCATGAATGGAGACTATGAGAAATAAAAGGGGCCTTTGGGGAATTCCCTGGTGGTCTAGTGGTGAGGACTCTGAATTCTCACTGCGAAGGGCCTGGGTTCAGTCCTTGGTTGGGGAACAAAATACAAGCCATGCAGTACTGCCAAAAACAAATAAATAAATTAAAAAAAAAAAGAAATGAAGTGGGCCTTGAAGAACAAAAACAGATGGGAAAACTGAGGCCTAGAGAGGATAAAGATTTACTCAGAGTGAGTTAGTACAGAGAAGGGTTTCACACTGGACTCCACCCAGCACCTGTGCTCCACGTAAGGATCAAAAGGGTGAACACAGGGCTTCTAATCATGACTCCTTGCCGTCACTCCATCTCTGATCTCTCTTTCTCTGTGTTTCTGTCTTTTCTCTCTGTCTCTCTGTTATTGAATTGGGTCCCAATGCTCACGGCTTTCAAAATCAGTACTCACAAATGTTGATGTAAAGGAAAGTTGCCTTTTATTCAGAATGCTAGCAATCTGGGGACACGATGGGTCTCTGCCTTCCCCAAAAAACCACCTCTGAAGATTCTGCTCGGCCGTAAAATCTTTTAAAGGGAAACAGGGAAATAACCTCAGTTAATCATCGAGATGGGCTGGTGCGGGGGGTGGGGGGTGGGGAGGGGGGGTGGGGTGGGGAAGGGGGGGTCAGAGTCGCCACCATCCCCCACTGTATGCAGGCTTGCTGACTCTGTTTGACCTTTCTTATTTCTTTAGATGTTATCTTGTTCACACCGTTTATTCAAAAGATCAGTGAAGGGGAAGCTGGGGAGGAGATCTGGTGATGTGTTAATTACTTATTCTTTACTTCTATTTCTTTGATCTATGGAAAGAAACAAGAAGTTAGACAAAGTACTCTGTGATCAAAAGATGTGCAAAGCGTGCCAGGGCCAGAGGTAAGCAGAGCATGAGGGCCTGGTGTAAGGTTAGTGACAAGAGCGGGTGCCTCCTACAGAGAGCTCTTTTCCTGCCCAAAGCTGTCTTGTCTCTCCATCAATTCTTTCTTATTGCCCCCAACCTAGATGTATCTTTTCAGGCCCTAAATTCATCCCCCACGGGTATGTATGTGGAGTTGGAGAGAAGGTATTTCTAACAAAGGGATGGTTGTCATGGTGACAAAGCTAAATGACTGCAGCCCAAGGCAAGAGGAATTCTGAGTAGAGGGGTTCTGGCCAAAATGGGCACCAACTTCTAGTGGACAGGCCTCAGATGGCTACTGACAGTAAGAGCCGATACTTACTGAGCAGCTGCCATGTGCTGGATGCTGAAATCAGTGCTTTACGTGTACCATCCTGGGTCCTGTACCTATAATGTAACTGGCTGGCTGAAGCAACCTTTCTTTATTCCTACCTGGGAAAGAGAGTTCATAGAACAGGCTTTAGTGTTTGAAGTCAGCCAGTCCTGGCTCCAATCCTGTGTGACTCTGAGCAAATTACTTAGTGTCTCTAAGTCTCAGTGTCCTCGTGGGTAAAACGGAGATAATAACACCGGTCTCCAAGTGTCGCTGTGAGTTACGAGTGAGATGAGGGCCCTGCAGCCCTGCAGAGTGGGAAGCCGCTCATGTCGTGTAAAGAGTGCAGAGTCAGGAATCACAGTCTGGCTCCAGGTCTGCCGTGAGTCGCCCAGGACAGGTCCCCACATTGCTTTGACCCTCAGTTGTCTGCAGTGGGATACTGACCCCTGTGCTATCACGTGAAAGCCAGAGCTTTATGATGGCCTAGGAAGCCCTCATACCTGCACACACTGCCTCCCCAACTGTCTCCTCGTACCATGCCCCCGCTTCTTGCCCAGGCTCCGTACCCCTCGACCACGCTCGCCTGCGTCATGTTCCTAAAACACGTCAGGCTTGTCCTCACTTAGGGCCTTTGTGCTTTGCGTGCACACAAACACAAGCCGAGATAGGATCAGAAGAAACCTCCAGTGTTATGCTGGGATGGGATTAACAGGCTATTAAGAGGAAGCATTGTTTACAGAGGACTCAGCCTTCTCAAGGTGGCCATCCTGAGCTGACTGGATGATGGCAAGGCCAGCTTCATGAGAGCATGTCTCATCTTCTGTGACTGCCCCGGGTGTGTTTCCCACAGACACCTGCACGGCTTGCACCTCCCCCTTCCTCAGGCCTTTACTCAAAAGGTATTCTATTTAAGCATAAACTCCCCCATTTCCACCTTCAGCACATCTTGTACCCTTTCCTGGCTTCCCCAGCATCCTACTTTATCATATCTGTTTCTCTACTCAAATGTAAGCTCCATGAGGATAGGTTTGTTCATTGCCTGGCACTTAAGTGTTACATTCACATTTCATGAATATGTGATCTAGATGAATTAACACAAAAATAATGGCAAACACTCCTTTAGTGCTTTTGTAAGCCAAGCAGTCATCTAAGTAATATACATAATATAACATATTATGAATATATATTTCATTTTAATTTTCAAGGTAGTCCTATAGAAATGAGAGTGAAATAAAATGAAAAAGGCCCCCTCTTTGAATGTTGACCATACAGATCGTTGAACCTTGGGGAAGAACCTGGACATAGAGGTCAGGAAACACCTGGTATCATACAGATCATAAGCGGCAGAGCCAGGCTTCCAGTCCCCTCAGCCTGGTTCTAGGGTGAGCTTTACGGTCAACAACAGTGTCCAGGTGATGAGCACTTATTACGTGCCAGGTGGAAATACTTCCTTTTTCTCCTTTACATCGCATGATAATCCTCTACAGGAAAGATTATTAACAAGCCAATTACACAGATGATGAGGCCTGAAGCTTATCGAGGTTCAACAACACAAAAAGGGTCACCCAGTTAGTTATGGAACTGGGGTTTGTTAATTAAACAAGGAGACCCTTAGAGTGAGGCGGCTGTGATGCCCTTGGGTGGAAGGGGGGGGTCTGTATGAGCAAACCAAAATCTAAGCCTGCAAATGCCTCAAGGTTATGAAATAAAAACTCTGAGGACCAGTCACTGAGAGCCAACCAGACGTTACACTGCAGCCAAACAGCTTCTTCCTTGGCTTCTGCACCTTCTCTGCTTAGGTCCTTCCCAGCTGGCTCCTGACCACTGAGAGCTCTTAACCACTTGCGGTTTGGCGCTGCTGATTCCAAGAGATTTTTGTTCAAATAAACTGGTAAAAACAATTTTTAATGTGCATCAGTTTATCTTTTAACAATACCCAACGCAGGTGTTCTACCCCACCTTGCACGCATGGTGGACAACGGAGGAGGAGCTTTATTGGCATAAGGAGCTGTACCTACAGGAAAGAAACATAGTTTTATCACTGGATGTAAAAGTAGAGGAGGAAGAGATGGAGTCAGAGAGGGAGAGAGAGGAAGAACTATTAAGGGAGAAGTGCCCCCCGCCCCCATATCTCCCACCTGCTTACTTCACTTTGACTCTCGCTTGCCTATCTGTCCTTGCTCTCCTTCCAGACTTGAAGAATGTGTCCTGGCTCTTGTGAAGTCCACAGGGGGCATGGCACAGAGTTGCGCTTTTGTTCCTTGGTGATATTATTTTTTGTTGGTGTTATTATTTATTAAGCACACAGCTGGGGCTTAATAAATGCCTGTTAAGGAACCAAGTATACAATTCTCTCCCAAACCACGCCCTCTGAGTCCTTGGTTAGCTCCTAGGAGGCACCCTTGAGAAATCTGGGGCTCACCTTCCACAGCTCAGGTGCAAGGGGAGGGAACCCATAGCCTGGGGCAGGACCCTGTGGTACTTTATGTATACGGCCTCACTTCCTTGTGACTCAGATGGTAAAGACTCTCCCTGCAATGTGGGATACCTGGGTTCGATCCCTGGGTGGGGAAGAGAGTCTGGAAAAGGAAATGGCAACCCACTCCAGTATTCTTGCCTGGAGAATTCCATGGAAGAGCCTGGAAGGCTACAGTCCATAGGGTCACAAAGAGTCGGACACGACTGAGCGACTAACACACTAAAGCTCAGAGGAACGGAGGAGGTCGTAGGTCTCATTCCCCTGTGACCAGCAGAGGCATCTGAGACTCATGGAGGTGGGAGGACTTGCCTGAGGTCACATGGCTGAAGGATGGCAGGTCCAGAAAGTGAACCCAGGTCTGGTCTTCCTGGATCCTTGCTGCTGGGGAAGTTCTCTTTGTTTGGACCAAGCTATCTAACCCAGAGCCCCAGTTGCTACGCTGGCTGCCAGCAACACAGATCTTTAAACCCAGCTGCATAAAAAGGGGCCTGGACTTGCCAGCAACAAGCTTGTGAAGTTACACACATGTTTATGGACCAACAGACAGGGAAGAAGCAGAGGCCAACTTCTGAAGGTGTCACACGATGTTCCCGGCACTGCTGAGTCTGGTCTCCTCCTGGAGGACACTCTAGCCTCCTTTCAACCTCCAAGGTGGATTGCTGACAGCCACACACGCTCAGGGCAGCTGTCTTTTGGAACAATGAATTTGCTAGGAAGTTCAGCTGGTAAAGAATTTGCCTGAAATGCAGGAGACCCTGGTTCCATTCCTGGGTTGGCTCTGATCCGCTGGAGAAGGGATAGGCTACCCACTCCAGTATTCTTGGGCTTCCCTGGTGGTTCAGGTGGTAAAGAATCTGCCTGCAATGTGGGAGACCTGGGTTCAATCCCAGGGTTGGGAAGATCCCCTGGAGAAGGGAATGGCTACCCACTCCAGTATTCTTGTCTGGAGAATTCCATGGACCAGAGAAATCTGGAGGGCTACAGAACATGCAGTCACAAAGAGTCAGACACGACTGTATGACTTTTACAGTTTTTTGTCCAAATGGATAAGAGGACTGGCTTTCATGTGGAATCCTGGTCCTGCCACTTGTGTGACCTTGAACAATTTACTTAACCTGTGCCTACCTTTCCTCATGTGTGTGGATTGTAATAAGGATTCAAGATACCATTTATAGTAGCTGTGTAGTCGGTGCTCACTAAAATGATGGTTGTTACTATTTAGGCATTTTAACTTTTTAAAATCTTATTTCTCATGAAACACCATTGTCTTGGGAAATCTTTCTTCTTACATGTCTTTTTTTTTTTTTTCAAACTAGCAAATATGGCAAGGCAAAAGGCACTGGCCCAGGCCAGCTGTGCTGTCTTCTGGGTCTCCTGTCTTCTGTCTTTCCCAGACCCAGCTCTCAGCTGAGCCCCCATACAGGTGCTGGAAGTTTTATGTGGCCAGCCAGGCCGGTAGCCTTCCCAATTCTCCTGCTACTCAGACCACCCCCTGCAGCCTCTCCTGCCCACATCCTTTCTCTGACACAGACTCCTCCCAGTGTGAAACTCTTGCCTGACTCTCCCCAACCTTGCTCATGCCTAACACAATCCGGGGTGCATCCAACTCACCTGACGTCCTCTGCAGCTGTGCACAAATGCCCCCGCTCAGTGGCAGAAGCCAACTGATCATTCCTGGAGGTAGACTCAGGGGTCAGCATGTCATGTTTGGCCAAGGAGTTTCAGTTCAGTTCAGTTCAGTTGCTCAGTCATGTCTGACTCTTTGTGACCCCATGGACAGCACGCCAGGCCTCCCTGTCCGTCACCAGCTCTCGGAGCTTACTCAAACTCATTTCCATTGAGTCAATGATGCCATCCAACCACCTCATCCTCTGTTGTCCCCTTCTCCTCTCGCCCTCAATCTTTCCTATCATCAGGGTCTTTCCCAAGGAGTCAGTTCTTTGCATCAGGTGACCAAAGTATTGGAGTTTCAGCTTCAGTATCAGTCCTTCCAATGAATATCCAGGACTGATTTCCTTTAGGATGGACTGGTTGGATCTCCCTACTATCTAAGGGATTCTCAAGGAGTTTGGGGGAGGATATATTCTTAAAAGGGCTTCCCAGGTACCACTGGTTATGAAGAACCTGCCTGCCAATGCAGGAGACTTAAAAGACATGGGTTCAGTCCCTGGGAAGGGAAGATCCCCCAAAGGAGGACATGGAAACCAACTCCAGTATTCTCGCCTGGAGAATACCATGGACAGAGGAGCCTGGCGGGCTATAGTCCATAGAGTTGCAACGAATCGTACACAACTGAACAGACTTAGCATGCACGCGTATTCTTAAAAAGTGGTTATGAGCTCTACAGCTAGTCTGCACACTTGCAGCTCTGTTATGGAAGCTTAGCCCAGTCTCAGGCCTCTGCCATGGAGCCACTATCAGTCAGGACTGACTATTGTGAGAGAGACATCTTCTGTGTGGCCTTCAGTCTTGGTTCAGGCCCTGGGGCCAGGAGAGGCTTCAAAATCCAGCTTTCACACCAGGAGATAAGTTTATCTCAGCACAGCTTTGGTCTGGATGTCTCCCTCTGGCCACTTTCCTAGATACTCAAAGAAGACTCTGTGCCTCAGTTTCCTTATTTGGAAAACAAAGAGAACACTCATCCCTATGCTAAGGGTTGCCTAAAGATCAACTTCTCTGATAGCTCAGTTGGTAAAGAATCCACCTACAATGCAGGAAACCCCGGTTTGATCCCTGGATTGGGAAGATCTCCTGGAGAAGGGATAGGCTACCCACTCCAGTATTCTTGGGCTTCCCTTGTGGCTCAGCTGATAAAGTATCTGCCTGCCATGTAGGAGACCTGGGTTCGATCCCTGGGTTGGAAAGGTCCCGTGTAGAAGGGAAAGGCTACCCACTCCAGTAGTCTGGCCTGGAGAATTCCATGAACTGTATAGTCCGTGAGGTCATAAAGAGTCAGACACGACTGAGTGACTTTCACTTCACTTCACTTCAAAGATGAAATAAGTTAATATTTCATGAAATGTGTAGTACCTGGCACACAGTGAGTGCCATAAACAAACAACAGAAGAGCCTGTAGGCACATCCTGTTGCTTTCCTACTCTAGCCCAGCCTAGACTTAACTTCCCGAGAACCACGGTCCCACCGCCAGGGCAGAAATAGTCTTCCTCCTGGTCCTTCTTCACTCCTAACCCTCACCCCCATTTGTGTTCCTGGGACCCAGAGTGATTTTCCAGTTCTTGACATGACAAATATCTTGGCATCCATCCCTCTCTAGATTAAGTTCCTCAGGGATAGCTATTTTGTGAATGGCTGCACTCAGTAAATATTTAGTTTTTGAATGAGTGAGTTCAAAGGCATGCAGCAAAGGCAACTCCAGATGTCTAGGCAGCTCCTTCTTGGATTCTTGGAGGAAGCCTATTGCTTTGCCGTTTGGGTTTTAGAATATCTCTGGCTTTCTCTTATCCTCCAGTCAATGTCCCTGTCTCTCTCTGGTCTCCCTGGCTTGGGTTTCGATTTTGCCCAATTATTGTTTTACTGTCTTTATATCCTGAAGCCTGAAGTTCAGTGACTCCCCCTGCACTCCTAGGCCCTTTGTATATCATGCTAACCTGATCCCCAGATTTCTTGGGAGCAATGTGATCCAGTAGCCCTGTAAGGGGGGAGAAAGAACCTCCTCTCCCTCACCTCCTCACTGCCTCTAAAACACCCCACACACCTAACCCAAGAAGAACAGCTGAAGTCTTGATGAGATACCCCTGAGACCAGGTGCAGATGATGTCCCTCAGTGGTCACCCTGGAGTAGTGGGATTACATCCAGATGGCTAGAAGTGAAGTCTTTTGTGAGAGTAGTTGGCATCAGAGAGCCCAGTCTCTTTGCAGGGAAACAGTGTATGAAAAAGTGCTTTGAATTTAGTTAAGGAAAGAAATCAATAAGCAATTTTGTTGAGTTCCTGGGATGTGTGTGATGATATCTAGATCCTGAGCAGCTTATCAAAAGAAAACAGTCACTGATTCTTTAGAAATGAAAAGTCTGAATGCAACATCCTCAGAATGTTGTTCACAGTGCATTGCATTTTGACTCTTTTCAACCTTTTTCAAAACCTACCTCCTTGTACTACCCAACACCCACAGAAGCACTGTCCTCCAGGCACCAAAGTGCTCTCTGGTTTCAGGAATTTTGTTGCAGCTTTTCCTGCTGTAAGGAGCAAGGGTCCTTCTGCTTCTGCCTCTGCCTCTGTCTCTCCACCCTCAAAGCTCATAAAATTAGTTCTTCAAATTGTCGCTCAAACTGGACTTTCTCCAAGTAACCTTCCCTGATACATTTCTTAGCCCTTAGAAGTCATCCTGACACTCCCTTCTCCCTATGCCTGTGATGAACACAGACCTGGAATTGTTCCAGGAACGTCTTGATAACAAACATTCCCATCATCCTTATAACAGCCTCATTCTTCTCAAACTGCCTGTCACAATTGGGAAACTATGGTTACTATACCCACAGGCCTTTGCATCTGCCATTTGAACAGAGACTCTTAACCTTTCGTGTGCCATGGGCCCCTTTGGCACACCAGCAAAGCCTATGGTTTTGAATAATGTTTCTAAATGCATAAAATAAAGTATGTAAGATTGCAAAGGAAATCAATTTTATTAATATACAGCCCTATCAAAATATGGGAAATGACAACTGGTATTATATAATAAATGTGCTTCTCTATAACGCATTAACAAGATCTAGCAGTGGGCCTACAAATTATTGACAGTTCTAAGTAGTGATGAGTGTTGAGATATCTAAAACCATAATGGGACACAGAATATCTGTGATTTCTATCAGCAACAAGGTTATAGGCACTGCTAATAATACCACTGTAGTATTTGTTTCCTATCCTCTGAAATTAAAAAAAAGTTAAATTTTGACTAGAGGTTAGTGAAAAGATAAGATGTGGCTTTTTCCCATTCTCCTTCTGCCAGATTAGGAACTCCTATATTAGAGCATCTCTTCCGCTCACCATGCCCTGAGGTCCCGGGAGAGGTCCCAAGAGATTAAGCCTGTTCCTGCTGGTATTCATGGGTCATCCAGCTCAG